CGAGTAACTTTTTTACTGGGTTTTATGGTTAATCTCTGAGCCTAAACACGTTACAGAACTACATTTTATACATTATCCAGATTATGGCAAGGCAGAGCATATAATCAGAGTGTTTGAAAGCATTTTATTTGCGATATATAGAGGGACAGCGACACACTATTTGCATCGCATACAGTTTGTGAGGATTACACGATCCACTGAGAGGCACAGCAAAGTGCTGCCTCATCGCGCATCTCCTCCATGTATTTGAACGGGACATACGGAAATTCTGCTATTCTTTATTGAAAAAAAATCCTTCAACATCGGATTCGAACGGCAAAAGGGCCTACAACACACACCAGCAGACAAATATTAATATTTATTATATTTTATGGTTAACTTTTTTTTCTTTTCAAGATTGACAGGGGAGGCTCTGCCTCACCTGGCTCCCCTGACCGCACGTCACTGATCAAGTATCATAAAACTTTATAACATTTATGGCAGTTAGCTCATCAGGATGTACTTATCCTGGCAAACAATGTCAAGAATCTCGAGCCAGAGAATGGAAGCAACCTGAGTCACGCCATATTTGCAGACTAGCAGTCCCTCAACATCAGCAGTATCACACGTCACTGACTGCTGCCTACAAAGCTCTGCGAGGACCCACTCAATGTAAGATCTTAATTAAGAGAAAGGGGTTTTAGGATCTTTAAACCATAAGAGTGCTTGTATATTTTGCTGAATTCAAATGTACATGTAGTATGTTAACCAAATGTTAATGTGTCTTAAAAAACAAAGGATGCTGCTATAATTTTTTTTTGGAGTGATTTCTTGTTGGGCTGTTTCTATCTGAGGTCCACTGAGAAGACGAGAAGGAAATTTAGAGTTCTGTGCAGAGCTTAGACAAAATGTTGAACATCACATCAAGGCGTATGCAAACAAAAAAATAGTATGCAAATAAGCCTGTGCAGCTCCATTTATCTGACTGAAAAATGTCAAGTATTTTACAAAAAAAATCTTTGTCAATGTGGGTGAGTTAGTGTATTGTCCTCTTAAGGTGCTGGATGCTGTAAAAAGGCTGCAACGTTTCATTTACTGTAAACATGATTAAGAAATATAACAATACTTGTATCTGCAATTTAAAATCAAGTACTGCACTTAATCACACATTTTTCAAATGACTTTTAATTAAAAGCCTCACTTTCCAGTGTCTAGACTGCACACAGCAGCCGGTTTTCCAAATTAAAAAACTACTTTCTTTACAGTCTGGTGATTAGGTGCTTCATTAATTTTGGACTAATTACACTATGGCTAATTACACTGTAACTGTCCTGTGGGTTACACAGGACAGTTACAGTTTGACTCAAAATTTTTCTGTCTCCGTTCCTCATGGCGGAGACTGATAGCTTTAATCTTAAAACACAATTCACACCTCACATTACTGCTAAAGCCTCATAGCTATGCTGCTCATGAAGTTCAGACACACTGAAGCATCCAGCTTCCTGCAACAGAGAAAAATAAGTCCATACTTTAAATTAACTTACCTGCCCAAAGTTTTGCTCTTCCAGTCTGTGAAGTAACATTTTTTCCTAAAAAAAAAAGATAATATAAACTGGTTGCCAGTCAATGAAAAAAAGTTCCCAAAGTTAAAGCTTCAATCTTTCTCCCCTAACTACAGTTACCTGAAAGGCATTCTGATGTTCATCTGCTCTGCATATTTACAAAGTACATCCCAAGGAGCGTGGATCTTCACAAACATGATGTCGTTGTTTGTCAAAGAGTGCTTTCAAATTCAAAACAAAGAGGAGTTTGAGAACCAAGTCGAGAAATCAAACTAATAAAAGTCTTTTCAAAGCCAAGCCAAGCATTCTTACCTCCTTCTCCAGCATCAGGCCCTCAGCACGCAGATTTTTCTCAAACGTGCACCTCTTCTCCACCTGGGGACTAGACTTCTTGTAAACCAGGATGTAGTCAATACGTTTTTTCCCATCTCGGAAAAATAATCCAGAGGAATCAGCGCGATTCTTTCCCTGCAGAAACAATGTTGCACCTCTGACGTTTAGATGTGAGGGTATAGCTTCTCAGTGTTCGGTGACAAAAAACAACAGTGCAACCCTGTGAACATTTAGGACAATAACCATATATTACTGTGAGTATGGTACCTGAAGTGAATCTGTGCGGGCCTCTAATTTAGCACGAGTAACAGGCTTTTGAAGCAGAAATGGCTCATCTGCCCTTGTTCCACACGTAGTAACCTCTGATTCTTCTGTGTAGTGGTCCTTGGCATCCTCTGCTGTGCACAGACATAATCAATGAGATAGTTACTGAACCAGTAGGGAACCGCACGAAGTATCTGCATAAAGCCTTTTGTTGTTACCAAAGTCAATAGTTTCCTTTAAACTACTGCCAACATTGAAATTTGATCTGAGCAAAATAAAATCTAAGTTATTTAAAAGTTGGTGGCATATTGAGAGAAACACCTTGACAACAGTTTAGTTTATTCATGCACCAATGTTGAAAGAGTGCCGATTGTGTTTCCTTCCTTCCTTAATCTTTACATATGCCGTTTTCACACCTAAACTATGTCTGCAGAATCAAGCCCAGACTTTGTCCAGGGTTGCCCTTTCACACATGTAGCACACAACATGAGATAATTTGTTAGACATGTTGTCACCTACTGGAAATACTCCATTCGATTTATGCAAGGGGGTAGAATGTGCAGGAGGCAGAACATGGAGCAGTTATGTAGCCAGTTTGTAAAATAAACAGCAGAGTTTCTTGTCGTGCCTTAAATTTGTCTAACAATTCTGGCACTGGCTCTTAACAACAGAATTTCCTAAATCTTATCATGTCTCCAGCTACATATTTCTGTTGGTGTCTTCAATGTAAATGACTGTTTACATGATGGAACGTCATCAACACACCCATGAGCTCCACGTGACTACCCCGGACTATGTGCTGCCATTTTCTAACACGGCCTCACTCCAGCTCACTTGGATATTATGCGGCCTTCATTTTAGGGAGCTGGCAGGGTAAAGTTTGTTTCAGGTCCAGGTCGACTGATTCGGACAATTGTGTTCTCACATACAACTCCTGTGGTCGCAAAGGGGATGGAGCCAATCCCAACTGTCATTGGGTGAGAGGTGTGGCGCACCCTGGACAGGTCTATTCCACTGATGTGCAGAATCAAAATAAAGTGCATTTAAAACCACACTACCACGCAAGACAAAAAAACAGGAATTTCTTATCTAACCCTTCTAAACCCCATGTTTAGAAACTCTATCAAATGATCTTTTTTGCTACACACATGAATAAGTCTGCCTTGCTGATGTTAGGTAATTTCTTAGTTAGATAGATAGTGATTAGAGATCTGTTGTATTAGAAAATGTTAGTGTAGCCAGGATGTCTAGCTCAGGCTGTTAAATGCTCAGTTCATTGTCATGAGTTCTGCAGGCTGCATCTAGGCCAAGGTCACTAGATTGAAGAGTCTGCAGGCAGGATGAATATTGTTAGTAGCATGATATGTTCAGCCGTAATCTTAATCATAATATCTTCCGAGGCTTACTGTTCGGACATGTCCCTGAACGTCCTGTATGTTTTTAGATACACACCACTAATCAACAGCCACACACTTTAATATTCTCCATGTTTTGACTACTGCTCTGGTCAGCTGCCAAGCTGGCATATCAGGTGACATCACGGTTTGACGTTGCCTGTGTAGGATGGGGCTAGCCCAACGAAGTGATTAAATTGTATAGGCTATTGGGTTCGGGGCTTTTTTCATCTTCCAGGCTGCCTGCGCGCAGTACTGGAGGTGGAAGATGCCTGGACGTGTGATGTTAATTTTGCCTGTGATCCTTTGAATAAACCAGCACGGTTATATTTTTTATATATCCAAGTGGTCTACGTCGTCTCTCAGAGTTCCTGGTTGAAAGAACTGGGTAATATCTTTCACTGACAAACAATAACTCTCTTGTAAAACAAAGACTTTCCATTTTCAGTGGTATGTATTGCTTTGTTTTAAGGAAAAATACTGTGTACAACAACCCACCTATCAGGATAAAATAAGACATTTAAAGTGGCTCATCAAAAAATTTACTGCGGTCCAAATGTGAGAGCTCAGATGTGTCTGCTTCATCACCAGATCAGCCTGGCGTGACCACTATCAGCACGGGTTTATAAACCAAGTGCAAGAAAAAAGCATTTGGGAAGGAACCAAAACAAATGTTCATTAAATTCAATAACAGTATGAGTTAACAATTTTACAGTGTAAGTAAAGTTAACTTAGAGCCAACAATGTATTTTTAGTGTCTTTTAAAACAGTACTAGGCAGTGGACAGAAATAATCTGGTCATAATATGGCTGTAACAGTTTTGCCTTTCATTCTTTTGTTTTCTTAAACATATTTTTAGCATCATCCCATTTGATTTTGGTTCCTCTTAGGCTCAGCAGTTCATTGGGTTTTAACCCAATCTGTCAGTGTTCATGGGTGGGATGTTGGTGAGGGATCATATCCTTGTCTGCGAGTCTCTACTGCTTGGTCTCTCTATGCCTTCTTTTAACACGCTCCTTAGACAAAGAGAGAAACCGACCTGTCTCTCAGATATCTATGCTCAGCACGTCATCAAAGAGCCCGTTCGTACCAAAATAGCAACACCTCACCTTGTGCTACCTTGTGTAGCACAGAGTCTTCACACTTTTGCACACTGCATTCAAAACCAAAGCACCAAAGGGTTGGACAAAGGCTATTTCAAGGTCAGGAAAATTCTAACATGACAAAAATACAACCAATGGTCTCTAGGCATTGAACAGTAGAAAGTGCCTAGAAAGTCACCAATTTTTAAAAGGAAATTTGATTCAGCATAAAAGCATAGAAGACATAGGTTAAAACTAACCGGCAGGTATGTGACAAATGAGAACAGGATATGTGGCTGACATTCTGCTGATATAAAACCTAATGTGATCCTCACTGTCAGAGAATTTAATAAATAGCCTTTACTTCCAGATGAAAATGTGAGTTGTAAGTTCGTCTCAGCAGACTGACCTTTCTGTGGGGGGACGAGGCTGCAGGAGGTGCTGGTGCTCTGACTCAGACCCTCAGCTTCTGGTTTGGCCTCCGGGTCCAGAGTTACAGATAGAAAGTGGTTGAGGTTGAGTGGATGAGTCTGACTCTGGACCAGGCAGGGCAGGCTGCGGCGAGACGGCTTCAGGTTCTTCTCCTTCAGGATCTCGCTGATGCTGGTGTGCATGCCT